TTCTTCAAGTGCCATCGATATAACAAGGTAGGTATTGAAAAATGCCATATTTTATTTATTAAAATGTGATATTTTCTCTTATGACACATTAGTACAAAGACTATTATTTGTGAAATTTCTTGTGGGTACAAAGTATTCTCCATTCACATGCCCAAATGTAGAACGACAAACACTGAAATCCATGAATGCCTTTCAGAGTAAAAGTCTTCGTGTCTTTGAATTCTTATTCTCAGATTTTATAGTTGCTGTGTGTTTCTTAATTAAGATTTTCTGAATAATAATGTAGCAAGAGTTGGCACTTGGCAGTGTCAGATTCAAGTGATGATTCTGCAAATTTCAAAATCAGGTGATTTCTGTACGCCTCTGATGCAGTGCCTCAACCATAAAGGGATATGTGAGATTCTTGTAGGACAATGAATTCGGGTTGGCAGTCATGGATATGGAAGGTCTTGCTTAGACTTGGTCAGTGTTGAAAGCCTGAACTTACATATATGTGATTTCCAGTGTCTTTGAGCTGGACCAAGACAGGGCACAATTTTTCTCAGCAACGGAGGCTCCTTCGATTGGAACTGAACTTCTCTGGTTCATGAACGACTAGGAAATGCATCGCTACCAATAAAATTAACATTTCCCACTAGCGTGGCTCTTTTCAACCCATGAAGGGGTGCTTCTGCTCGAGGCGTATACCACCGCCCCACAACGCAAGATTCTTCAGTTTGAGAATATAGTCATCTGGGAGCCCTGATGATAATCTGTACTGTTCAACTTGCAGGTCCCATCTGAGATTTTCCCAAGACACTTCAGTGATGAAACAACTTGTGTGATTCTCTTATTATGTGTAATGTGAACATCATTTGATTCTATTTTAGATATGTTAACATTGAATGAAAATCTGTACATTTATTTAACAGTTTAACTGGTGACCTTACTGTAATAGCATAGTCATGTCAGGGAGGTGATAGTTTTCTGTAAGTTAAGTGGCTATGTCACACATCTTAGACAAAATGTTTACTGGTATCTGTACTATTTTTAGAAATGAATTTGTATATTTTTTTTGGTTTTCCCTTTTACACCTACAGTGTGTTTCCTCTCAGCTCCAGAAATGGTTGAAATAGATCAGGGAAATGAAATGATTTGTTTCTTAATGTATTGTAGCAACGATTTACCTGGCTTTGGAAAGTCATTTGTTGAGTTCTCTGTGATAAAGTGCTCTTTAATAACCAATGCTGAACCTGATATGACGGAACCATTTCTTCACTGTTTTCAAGAAGGAAAACGATGGCCTCAAATCAAGATTTATTTTTCCAATTTCTGTTTTGGGGGAAATCAACTAGGCTGTATGATGCCTAGAACTTGGTGTGATCATCTTTAACCAAATCTACGGAATGTAGCCAAACAACGATCTTTGTAGGGCAAAGTTCAACTAAACCATATCTGTCATTTTCTCAGAGACAAATACACCTGTATTTCATCCATAGGTATAGGCATTCCAAATCCCCTTTTCATGAAGTAGCATTATGTCAAAGGAGTGCTATACTGGGGAAATAAGTGTGTGAACAAGACCAACTTCAAATATGATTTTCTTGGAACCTAAGTTTTATTCCCCAGTGAGACTTTTGTCTTTCGAAATGAAAACGGTGACGATTTTTGTGTACCGTACAAAACATGTAGAGTCTTTGACTTTTTCATAAACTTGTAGCCTCATTCACAAAGTTGTCTGACATTTTCAACACCATATTCAGAGTAAGATATCAATTCAAATTAAATAAATGTTGCAGATTCAATGTTTAACCCTAACACTCCTCAGTCCTCCAACAGGTGAAGGATTGAGGAGGGTTAGGGTTAAAATATTTTATACCTTGACAGCTGTAATGATTTCACAAGCTTCTAATTGTATTTTTATTACATCTCAAAAGAAATGTTCCATAATAATAATTCATATAAGTTATATACATCAGGAGTTGCTGTACAAATATCACATTTCTTTACATTGTGGGCTGCTGCATTTAACAAATGTATTTGGCATTTTCTCCCCCGATATGAAGAGATGCAATAAAATAAATCATGTCTACTCAATCAAATCCTACAATTAGCTGCGATTGCTCACTAATGACTCTGGTGTTTTCTTACTCTCTTTTTACCAAATGAACCACATGAGATGCACATATTCACATCACCCTACTTGTTCTCAGTTCACAGACTTGAATTTTTTTTGAAGAAAAAAATTTTTCCATTCAATCATGTAAATGTATCTGAACTAAAAAAGTGAAAAAAAAATTGCCAACAGCTGAACTTAAAGTCCTTTTGGCTTTTTTTTAGTGAACTATCAAAATATTGTTGCATCCATCCACAAAAGATGAAGGGCTCAAGATCGGACTTGTTAAAGTCGGCATTAAATCTACATGTAGGGTCTTCTTCCATCTGTTGTCATGGTAACTGTTCAATGATGCATTTATTAAGTCATCTCCAGGTTGCAGCACAACTTGCTGGTGACGCTTATCAAAAGAGCAAACTTGAGCAGCTGCCTTGGCAATTCCGCACACGATCTGTTTGGCTACTGGCATGACCGGATATTGATATTACACACTACATATAGTCAGCTGGTGACCTAAGCCAAGTTGTTCGCATCATCAGGATGCAGACAGGTTAACTACCATTTTTGCCCACTGGCATGATCAGTATCACTAGTTGAGCTAAGCACCAAGAATAACCTGACACCAGTAATATGTCAGTATAGTAAACAGTGAACACTGGAACGACAATACTCAGTGCTGTTGATTGTCACATGATTTGATGCATAACTTTCAGATCAGTGTTTGCTGCACAAGTAAACTATCTCCATTAGGTTCCAGGCTTGCAGCTAACCGGCATTGTCATACAATAGGTTGACCACGTTGACCCATGACTTCAGGGAGTTCTGCCTCGCCCTGTGCACGAAATGGACATGTGACAGTTGTGTGACAAACTTGTGAAGTAGGTCTGCATCATAAATGTCGGAGATGGTTTGCATCTATTCCTTTACAGTTATCTGAACTTGGGGCTCCACGGGAACAGTCTTACAGCGGACAGGGCTAATATTAACCACAGAGGAATGAAAACCCAAAAGAAGGCCATATCTGCTGCGTACTGTAGCCGGACGCACAGCATTATCTGGAAGGTCAACGTCAGCACTGTCACGCCGACGAACCACACTTTGTTGATCATGGACAACGACATGTCGCTCTGGTCATAGCCAAACCGGCAATGGCTGATCATTTTAATGACTAGCAGGACCAGCACGACGAAGTCAAACAGCCACAGGGGGATGAAAACCAGGAACCAATTCCACTCCAGTCTCTGATCCAGCCGAACTGCGACCAAAATCAGGAAAGCCAGGACGCAAACGTAGGCTAAAATTGCTCGTTGTAGTAGCGCCATCTTTGACAGAGATGTTATGGTTGAGACGGAACAGTCCATTATAGCTGATGGGAATCTGCAATGATAGTGTGTGCAGCAAATAACTTTGTTATCACAAGTTCACTACGTAAAGTCCTCTTTTAAATGAATCAAAGACCCTCATTTCCTCTAACAGATGTATCTGTCTCCACTCATATTGAGACATCTTCATTCATCATCAGATCCGCCAAAAATTAATATTCTTTTTCATAATCCTACACTTTTGGACCCTGTTTATATCGACCATTCCATGAAATAGGTCGTAGGGTCATGTCTATAATTTTTTGCATGGATTCAGCTTTAAATTTTGCAGGTCATCACATCCAGAATTTGTCATGTCTTGAACGTTCACACAACGACTGAAGCTGAAAGATAATTTTTCAATGATATCAGATTTTGCCGGTCTTTACTTGCTGAGCTTTGTCGGGGAAAAGTAAGTGATTTACCCTATTTTGCCGGTCCTGGGCCGAACTGGCATAGGCCAAGAGAACTAGGCAGCCCGTATGCCATACGACTGATGACTAGAATCTTGTTGACAAGGTTGATGTCCCCGTTCCGTTGGTTGTACCGCAACACTACCCCCAGAACTGTGGGGTCCGACGTCCGCTCCTGTCTTTCTTAATGGGAGAGGAGCGGACGTCGGACCCCACCGCAACACAGTAAAAGAAGCACAAGAATAAGATATAGCAGCGCGTACTCGCAAAGTCGTAATTTGTATAGGAAGTTTGGGGGCCTAGTTGCAGTTTTCGCAGGCAAAGATTTTACTTTAACACCCTTACCAAAATTAGTTTGGAAAGGCAAAATCTTCGAAAATAATAATGGAATGTAGCATGCGAAGGCCCATCCAGTTGTGTTCAGAATTTAGGCCTATGCCCTGTAATAATAATAATAATACTTAATATAATAAAAGACTTTTATCAAGACATTTTCATGCACGATGCAGCACTGTCGAAGAAAGTTAGATGTTCTTGGCACTGTACATGCTAGCCCCACTAGTGTGGCACGGACTCTCACTCCCGAAGGATGGATCGGGAGTGAGAGTTCGTGCCACACTAGTGGGGCTATGCACATGCATGACATGTATGGTAACTGAAAGTGTTTATGGGTAGGCCAACTTTCTGCACAGTTTTTCACTGGTTTCACTGAAACAAATCTAGAAATGACAGATTGTGCCAAGCATTTATGTAATTCTGAACATTAACTGGATCGTAATTTTCAAAGAGTTTGGTGTTCCTGACCAATTCTAGTAGGGTTATTGAAGCAAACTCTTTCTCAAATGTTATTGTGGAGATGTACAATGTACATGTATATGTGAACAATGGTTGAGTTTTAGTAAACCATGGAACAAGACGGGCCCATTAATTTTGGTTATATGTTGGTGTTCTGTTGGTCATAATCAGGATCTGACTGTCAAAATTCAGAAAGAAACTCTTCTCTTTTTTCTTGGTGCTCAAAGTGTACAGTAAGAAAACCTACAAAAGGCTTGGATATCACCAATTCTGAAGTATGAAAGAAGTTTTCGGAATGGATACCACACTTCCTTAACACACTGCACTGCAGTTTCCAAAGCAGTGATATGGTGATACGGGTCAAAGGCCAAAGGTCAGGCATCCAGAGCTGCTCATCTCATTGACCGTCAGATATGCTTGGATTTTCGGGAATAAACGAAGCGATTTCTGGCTTCCAACAACAGGTACATGTTTAAAAGTGCCTCCTTGCCTTATTTCAAACTTTCTGAATCTTAGTGTGAACTTTGACCGTGGAAGTGATTTTTCATTGGCATTTTTCTTTTAAATTGATTTTCCCTTCAATATCTGTCCTGCCAGATTGGTGCATACGACAAAGAATTATGGGAGGAACATGTTGAAATCAAAGAACTGAACATACAGGTAGGTGTCTGGGTATTGTCTGCTTCAACAATAAACAAAATAATATCGAATAAGATTTATGAATGGAGGCTCGGAAACTGAAAGCCAGTTGCATGCAGCTATGGTACGTGTTACTGTGCTTGAAAGAAATCTTGCCAGCCACAATATATCATGTCATTCAATTTGCCACTGAATTTTGCGTTTTGCTTCCTGTTACACAGCGTCTGAAAATGGTATGTGGAAATACTGGTTGACACTTGCTAGCAAGCACGCTTGACAAAAGGGTCAATTTTCACATTTTTCCAAACTATTCAACCAAATCAGAGTTGCGCTATCAAAATGTGGTGAGTCAAGAAACTGGAAGCAGAACTCCTTTTCTTGACCTTGGCATGCAGTATTTTTTTCTTTTTCATCTAAGCAGGTCTGAGAAAATTTTTTCCATGTACAGATACAACTCCTTGAATTCCAGCTGAGCAGAAAGTAATGTTCCAGTCAATCATGATGCTAAGCTAAGAAAAAAAAAATCTGCCAGTAACCAAAGACTAGCTAGTATACACGTAAAAGTACTTAAAAATTAAAATGTAGTTTGTGGCTGGTAGCCTGCAATTACTCTGGGGTCATCCATTTTTGTCATTTTCAGGAGCTTACAAACCGTACGCTGGGGAGGGGGTTAATTGGTTGTGACAATTATGAAAGACTGGCCATAGCGGCTTCCCGCCGCTACCTGTACACGTATGCACGCAGTCTTCTTGTAGTTTCTGTAAGTTCTGCTGCATCGCATGCATATGTGCAGGCTGTTTGACATGGTTCCAGATGGAGCGTGATGGATGATACCAGTGTAGATAATCCTCATGTAAAGAAACTGGCCCACACTCATGCGTGCATGCAGTGCCTGCTGGACAACGATTTACATGTCTACAATATGTATCATGTGTCTCTTGCCAGTAGCAAGTTGCATTCTGAGCATACCAGGTGACTTGCTCTGATGTCATGGACATTGTTTGTCCTCCTGCCACTATTCTCTGGTCGTCCACTACAGATTAACAGCCTTACATTGTGAGTTAGAGTGGGTCCTCAGGCACCACAGAGAAACCATCATTTTGTACTCATTTAGAGGGCAGGAGGGAGGCCAGGAAAAAAAGTACCCTTTGTACTCTTGAGAAAACGATGACAGAAGTAGGCGATTCCTAAGCCAATATTGCCTGTGCTAAGCCAGATTCTCTCCTGAAAGTCACACTGAAACAAGCTCCTGGTTATTAGAATTGTCATGACCAGATTGATCTCAACCTTCTGGGAAGTCTCCCTATTTTAAGACTCCCCCTTTCTCCTTCCACTACTCCTTTCCCCAACGCTTCCCCTGACAGGAACAGCTGGCAATAAGTAAAGCTTTAAAAAATTAATGACAGGGACGTCTGTGTCTAAATTGTTTTTTTGGAACAAATGACTTCATTTTTTCAGGGTCTCCCTGCAAATAATATCCCTCTTCGGACAGGCCGGTTGAAGACTGAACTGATTGACATCGACCTTGTAAGAGGTATGAATCACTTCTCCAACTTGCAGAAAATGCTTATTTCTTGTGAAATGTATAAGGGCATACAGGGCCAGTCTGTCAAGAAATGCACCCAACAAAACAAGTATAGAAACATTCAAAGAGTCAGATAGTTACATTAGTTTATCTGTGGTTAAATACGTGTTTAAAGGAAATTTGTGTGGGGACTCAAAAAGTAAGAGTCAACCACATATGTACTTGAAGGAAAAAATGTTAAAAGCAGTGTTGGAGAAAATGTTCAAAATGAAACACTTCTTATGTTCTTGAAGATATGTTTGATAATAATTGAGAGTGACTCACTTGCATAGTTCTTGGTTCTTGGAAATAGATGATCAGCTTTAATTAACCAAAAGCTCATTTTTGCAAGATCAGACTCCCGGTAAAGACCAGAAGTATCCTAATCTTTTGTTTGGTTGGTGTTGCTTTATTGGGACATGACAGGTTCAACTTTCACCAAGGCTAAACCTGAGCACTCGTTAGGAGCCAGTGCCCGCAAAGGACTTATCAGGGTTTTGTTCTTCCCGTTCTACTTCCAGTGGTAAGACGACGATCATTCCCTAAGCTCATAAACCTGTTCTTGGAATTTTATACTATCTTGGGACTTTTCAAGATCTTCCAAAATGAAAGACACTGTGGTCAGCTGTTCTTTGTACTTAAGCGCAATGTGGATATTAGCCATGAAAGAGACAGGGAAAGATGAAATCCCCCCCCCCCCCCGCCAAATTATGTCCAATACATTTATTGCAAAATACCAGGTTTTCTGAGACAGGTTGGCCAAAAATTTGCTCCACGCACATGGGCCAACACGTGAGGGCACAATTTATCAGGGACCAGAACAACACCACTCTGTGTCAGATTGAATTAAAACTTCTCTGATGTATTCACCCAAGGGTTGCTGGACCTAACCTTCCCCAATTACACAAACTCCAACACCTTGGAAAAACACTCTTACCTCGTAGTACCCAATCCTACAGACTTCAACTGTACTCCTGTTGCAAGAGTACCTAATCCCACAAATTCCAACAGGTCTTTACCAGTGTAATTTTGTTTGATTGGGTACAGCAGGCCCACTGCACAGTACAAAGAGTATGGACAGGCAGTACCTATTCAAACAAACTCACACACCATCATGCTGCATATCCATCCCCAACTGCTGGGATAAAGTGAGAGGGCCACAGTACCCATTCAGTCCAAAGTCAACAGGGTATGTACAGGCCCACAGTACCCATTAACACAAAATTAAACACCAGTTAGTAAGCTACCAGTACCCAATGCCACAAACTCACACACTTTACTGGTGTTGAATTCTGTGTGGTTAGGGAAGGTTACGGTTAATGTTATTTCATGCATGTCAAGTTTCAGAAAGATGAGACATTAGACAGTCAAGATTTTGGCTGTGAAATGGTCTGAAAACCCCCAACTTTTTCAGGGTCAAGCATGAATTGGATCGGACTAGAAATGTTTTCTGTGAAGTGACAGGATCTTGTAAGACTGACCGAAAGATTTCATTTGTGCTTTCTACTTTTTCCCCCACAGGTGGAAGCAGCAATTATCAAAATGGATGCTTGTGTGTTTGTTGGTGCTGTATTTCCTCCAGGCATTGTCTATCACGGTATACTTCTTGTATTCTCCGAGTGAAGCTCAGCAGGTAGGTTTTTAGTACAAGGTGTACTTTTCAGGTAGTAAAGCTAAGTCTGGTTGGCGTGTTAGACTGATCCAGTAAGGCTGCCCCTCCCCCACCGGGAAGGTGGGCTCTTCGCATGTGCTCTTCTCCAATACCACACAACAGGCAGGTCCCAGCCGCGCACATCATACGGGTGTCGGACTCTTAAACATGCATGTCGGACAATAATCACGGACGGAAAACAATGAGACGGGGCTCAATGGATCAGTCTGTTTTTATTGTACAGATTTCTTGTACTTTTTTCTCTGCCTTTTTTCCTGGACGAAAACTCTGCTGGACTCTTCTCCAAGATCACAGATGAACGTGAAACTTAGCACAAATAGTAACCTTGATCTTGAGATGTGTATAAGCATGAAACAACAAAAAATACAACCAACTGCATTATCTGATGACAGACATTCAAATTCGCTGACATCATCAAACCTTAAGTCAGTATCACCCAGTCACCTCTTGCTTGAAACTGAAAACAGACATGCAGGTCTGTTTCGTGAAATTTTGTCAAGAGTTTTAACCTTTCTGTCTTTGGCAATGCTGGTGTAGAATTGAAAGAAATAAACTGTGTGCATCTTCCAAATACACTCAGGCTGTTCGTGTTTTGTACAAAGCAGCTGCCCTGATGATGAGGGTAACCTATTCAGCATCGGCAGCTACTTTGGTCCAATCTAAAGTACTATATTCCTAGCTAAAGTACATATACAATGCATTCTTAATCTTAATCTTAGCTAGTCACAGCTAAAGTGCTAATAGTCTTAGCTTCAGTACGTATGTTCTAAAGTACATGTACATAAATTCTTTGGCTAAAGTACTTATATTCTAAAATTAAGCTCATATATTCTTAGCTTAAGTACATATTTTCTTAATTTTAGCTAAAGTACATCTAGTCACAGCTAAAGTACTAATAGTCTTTGCTTAAGTACATGTATTTTAAAGTACATACATTCTTTGGCTAAAGTACATGTACTTGTATTCTAAAGTACATATGTGTGACCTGTTACAGCAAAATGAGAGTAAAGTCTCGCTGTTTCCTATTTTTGATGGTTCAAAGTCATACTGAAGCAGAGGTTAGTTTGGAGGTTTGATTAATATTTGGAAAGAGTAACCCATCTCCTATTTAATTCCAAATATTTCACAAGGTCATATTTAGCAATGTCATTTTCTCGACAATTTGATAGCATTATTCCGACCTGGTCTGAAATAGTGAAAATATGCTGGGAACAAAGATACAAAGCTGCCAGAATAATGTCACATTGTCACCTGATACTTTTACCAAGTGTTCCATTTACATACCACTGGAAAGCTCTTTTTCAGCTGAATTCAAAAATATCTATATCTCAGTTTTTGAAAATTCCAACTTTCAGCTCATTTTGTGGTGACAGGTCACATATTTTACTTATATTCTAAAGTATATGTAACCTGGAAAAATAGCTCAAGATCAATAAAGGGAAAAAACTAAACGAACAAAATCTAAACGTGTGGGGAACTCGCTTTATGGCAGCAAAAAAAACTAACTGAAATCTTTCAGGGAGGGATTGCGAGATTACTTTACAAATAAAACTACAAACAGAGTTTAAATTTCCGCACAAAAAAAATTAAAAAATGGTTTATTTCCTCAGACTGTATTCGGACTGCTAAATCTATGAACCAAATTAATTTAGCTAAACAAATTTTAAAAAAAACCTACCCTGGTTTTAATTGAAGACTTCAACAAATGGACTGAGACCTAGAAAACCTAGACCAACCTGATTGAGAACATCAAAATTTGAACAAAACCATAGACCAAACTGTAAAAGTACAAAAAAAGGATGAACGAATCAAATAACATCAATAAAATTAGAAAACCAAAAGAAAACAAAAAGACCAGAGTAAAATTTATGGAAGAAACCCCAAAAAAGAAGACCGACAGCAGTGCTTAAAAGGAACTTTACAAATCAAAAGCACTAAAACTTAAACAACCAAGTCTACAGCAGACCAGATTTTTGAGGCAGAATTTGCGAATAAAGAAGGAGCAAGAAAAACATGTGGTGTGCTCACTTCACTGCCGGCCTGCAAACTGAGATGCTACTTGGAAAAGGCATGGTCAGGGAAGTGTCCTGGCCCTAATTTGCATACAATGTAAGGGGCTGCCCAGCTAAAACCAAGGGGCACAACTTAACTCCCACAAGGATGATGCAAGGTGTAAAGAGGGTGTCACATTAACCACAAACCTTTTGAGGGTAACACTACAACTGGAAATTGCCTCTGCCACATATACATATCCTTAGCTAGTGTTCTTAGCTTAAGTACATATCTTCTGAAGTACATTCATTCTTATGGACACATTTCCCTTACCCTCTCACGTTTGGTCTCTCTTACAGCCGATCTTTTTCACTGAGGTCTTCACGCCTGTTGTCTTGGCCTTGGTTTTGGGAACAGTTTACTCACTGGTAGTCTGCACCACGGTCAAGAAGTCGAGAGCCTTGCGTCGCCGGATGACACGTCGGAGGTACGCTGATAGATTTTGATTGAAATTTGTATATATTTGTCTTTAGTCCAAGATTCGTTTCACCCTCTGCCAACATAATTTATTAAAATCTACATGTTTTAGCTCATTGCTGTCGGAAAGTTTTCGGGAAAAAGATAAAGTTGCTTAGGTGGGACTCGATCCCACAACCTCCTGCTTACTACTCAGGTTGGAAGTCATGTACATGTAAGCACAGGGGCACTTTTCTCATCTTTCACTTCTATAACCTGAGTTCAAATGCCACCCAAGCTGACATGCGAATTAGGTTACCAGTCCTTACCTGATTCGAAAACCGAAAATTTCTTTTGGTCTTTTCCTCCCTGATCTTCAAGAGAGAACAGTTCATTGTTAATTGATAGGGCTGTCCTGAATAAAAAGAAAAAATTATAAATAAAGAAATAAGCTGGAGTGGGATATGAACCTGCGACTCCCAGAATGCCGTACTCGCACTCTACCAACTGAGCTACCCCTGTCCTATGTTGGTGGTTCTGTCCATTTTTCAATATCATTGGTCAGGGTGCTTTAGTGAAAATAAGAAAAATACACTTTTCATTTTGCAGTCGTGAGGTCAAGACCAAACAGCGAAAACCTACATCCGAAGACAGCAATGGCAGCTACTCCAAGAAACGTGGCATGCGGCGGAGCCAGTCGCTGCCCTGCACAGCTGATACCTACTACCAGGTGCGACAGGCCCGGCGCAACCTAGCCCGACGGTTCTCTCGACCAGGAATTGTGGTGGAGGATAGCACCACAGGCCGTCGGGAGAGCCTGGTGGAAGGCACGGACGAGGCGAGCGCGGAAGATGGACTGGGGAACGATGGAAGACAACCACCCGAGTACATCCGCGGCCTGCAAGGTGACGAGACCACAGGCTACACTGAAGAGGACTTCACCTTGCTCGGAAAGCCAATAGAGGAGACCGATATCGCTGGGGAGATCCTCCTCCCTGACTTGGACCCCAAGACCCTTGGCGAGACCGACACGGCCGTTGCATGTGTCGTGCCAAAGACGGCTCCCTCCGCGGCCGCTGAGGATGCAACGGGAGATCTGGCCACGGTCAAAGGTCAAGGATTGTTAAATACCAGTAAGCCAGCGGAGGAGAGCAAGAGTTACGTGACGCAGAATCCAGGGGCAGAAGTTGGGACCGTTGAAGTGTCTAGTGTGTCTCTGCTCGGTACGTAAATAACACCTGTGCTCACTGCTCCGTTCTCTCATTCATTGGAAAAAAGTGGCCTTTAGGCTGTGCAGGAGTTGTTTTCTTTTTCTGCCAATGTATTGGGAAAATTGCCTTGGATAAGTTTTTGACAAATGGAAATGTTTGTTTTGGCTTCTCTAACGTAGTGCAGATATAGTAAATTCCTGTCAACTAATGTAAATGTTGTAAGTAGATACATATTAATATTTGTTACAATTCAAGTGAACAGGAAATGAAACAAAAAACTTTAGATAGTAAAGGAGGGTGCATTATTTTGGTTTGTCTAATGTCCTGAAAAATCTTGGACTTTTTGTGACTTGTGTAACTGCCCACTGTTTGGATGTTGTCTGATTTATTTTTGTGACAGAACGGGCCAAGAAATCCTCCATCACCCGGTTTAGTGACGATGTGTCAGATAACCCCCAGCACGCATCAGACAGCGAAGGCCCTGCGGAGGACAGGGAGGAGCGCGGTCGTGAGCGCGGCCTCCGGAGTCGCGCGGGGGTCAGGAAAGGTCGGCGCAAGCGGCAGGAATACGGGAGCTCCAATGAGTCGGACCTGGACACGCGGCCCGTCCGACAAGTCAGGTCACTTGAGGTACATTGTATCCATTTTGAGAGTTATAGCATTTTAGGTTTTTGTTTCGGCTTTGGGGTTTGTGTAATATTGGGGGCACCGATATCCCTGGGCTTGGCGCATTGATGACAGTAGGTGCTTTGTCACTGAGGGTAACTTCTTGTGGGATTGATGTCATTGCTGTGGTGCAAGTTCTGTAGACTTTTATAGACTTGGCAGGTAATTATGATTCAGACCTGTTGGAATTTTCTACATCTCTTCTAGCAGGATTCCCATTTAAGAGGCCCGTCACGGTTCGGCGACTCGGACATGGATGACCCCAGCTGGGGGGAGACAGCAGAGGAGGTGTCTTCCTCAGGAACCTCAAGCGAATCCAGCGAGAGTGACTCGTCTGACTCGGAGAATGACAAGAACGAGGAGATCCCGCAGTTTGAGGACCCTTTCAAACTCTTGCCAGCGACAGTCACAAGCACGCCAAGCGCCTGCACGAACACAGAAAAAAGTAGGTTTCCAAAATAAGGCGATTTGAAATAAATTTTTAGATTCACATCACCACCTGCCCTGATTTTTTGAATAGTTTATATATTTTTGTATGTTTTTGTGCCCTCCCCAAGGTGTAATTTCTTGACAAATTTGTCACCAAATCGACAGGCACAGTTGTATTAACTTCGCACAAACAGCGAAACGACTTTCAAACTTTTTTTGCAGAACGTTAAATTAGCTACTAATGTGCTGCATGCCCATAGGGCTGTCATGACTCCCACCTTATTTATTTTGCCGCCATATGTCATCGTATGGTCAGGAACCATGACAGATTAATGAGGTATCAATATGACAGTGCTCCAGGTACCATACGGTACCATATGTTGGATGTCCAGGTCCTCAATTCGATTTGGATGTAAAGAAGTCTAATTTACAAAATGTAAATTCCCCTCCTAATCGATTTTGTTGTAGTCTTAGTGATGTGAATCTAAAACTTAATTTGAAATGGCCATAAGGGGCAGATTTCACACACCTGCCGACAAGGAGCAAAAGCTGGTTGACAGCCACAACATGCATTTCTCATTTCTTGTGACCGGTTCAAAGCTCTTTGAGCCTCTTTGAAATTGTTCCCACATGTAGTTTTCCTCACAGAGTTAATCTTGTAAGTATTCGGTTTTTTTTCAAATTCCTGGTCACGAAACAGGGATTCCTCAAATGCAGCTTTGGTGCTGTGGCTTCATTATCTCTAACGAACATGTTGATAAGGTTGTAAAAAATTGTTACTTTTCGGGGGGGGGGGACTTTAGCAAAATAGGCCAGAGAAACTGCACAGAAGTTAAGTTAAGTTAGTTAGAAGGGATGCAGTATCTAATTCAAGTGGCTACAGCTGGGAGAAACGCTAGCCAATGGGAAACGACTGTAGCCACTAGCAAGCGGCTGCCATAGACTCACACATTATTTTCAGACACAGCCATAGACATTGGACACAGCCTTAGAAAGCCTTAGAATTAGGCCCAGATCACAGAGGTAGGATACGAAAACAACAGTTTATCAACTCTACCCTGTCTAGCAACCCTTACCCCTGGACATGGGCATTGAATTGGGGGCACTCCCCCCCCCATGTAAATGACAAACTTAAAAAGGGTAAAAATTAAAAAAAAGAGAAATTGAGAAAAAAAAGTGAAGAAAGGGAAGGAAAATCACAGATTGGCTTGAAAATACCCCAGAATGAACCACCTTCTGAGTTAATTCATGAATGTGCCCCTCCCCAACCCTGCAACAAATCCTAGTGATGGCCATGCCCTTGCATATTTTGGATATATAGACCCCATCAAACTGTATGTTTGGAGCTGAACGAGTTTCAAATGTATCATCCGGGATTTTGTTTTTCAAACATCCCTGTCTGGTTGCAGTCCGGGTTCGCATCTTTGAAGGTGACGAATGCAAGAAGGCCGATCTGAGCGTGCTGGAGATTAGCTGTTACATCAACACCAAAGTGCGCAACACGCGCAGCAGCTGTGACTACATCCTCCTGGGCGCCCTCTGTGCTGTCACCCTTGCCAGCATACCCATCAGCTTCAGGTCAGGGGTCATTGGCAGTGGGCATTAACCAAATGAGGCAATTAGGAGGCGGATCGTTTTATAAGGATCTCACTGCATACTTTTGCCAAGCATAGCAAGGGAATGGACTCGATTCTACAGTACGTGGGGATGATAAATATAGATTTCCAAAACCCGCCAACCGTTGGAAACGATTAAAGTTGGATGGTTCGAAGACAAGGGTGAAAATTCTGAGGGATATCGAGGGGCGCAAACTTTTCTTCGACTTGTCCCCAGCCTCCTTTACTTATGCCATTGTTCCTATAGGCTCACACCAGTACATGGCCATAGGGTAATCCTTTTTCAACAGTTTTGGAATCTTGTATGCATCGGCCCCTGCCCTCTTTTTTTTTTTAATCTAGAGGGGATGATTCTGGATGATGATGAGGGGATGATCATAAAATTGGGGGGGGGGGTAGTATTACCCACCACTTCTGGGATGCATGCCCGTAAGGTACGGAGAAGACTTCTGCTAATCTTGTAAACATGTCACAAAACATTTAAAAGCTTATCCAGAAGTAACAAAGTAAACAGACCTGTTTGTCTTGTACAACAGACTGCGCGGTGTCTCCTTCCTGGACTTGGACCTGTCTTGGCTGACCTCTGCCTGTCTCCAGAGGGCGGCACACACCTTCCGCGTCGATGCAGTGGCGTACGTTATAGTTGGGCTGTGCAGCATGGAGCGCTTGGCACTCAGTCTCATGTTCTTCTTTCTCCTTTCTGTGGCCGAGAAAACCTATAAACAGGTAATTTGAAGGAGGTGGTCTGGACCAGTCAATTTTATTTTCACATTTTCTGTTACTCTAGCAAAACCATCTTGGACTCAGGTTTAGGCAAATAATGGATCAATGTTTGTCAAGGTTTTCCATTTTTAAAACTTTTGCTGGGGTTGGCATTGACGTCGTCATGGAGAGAAATTCATGAAATCACAAATATTTTTCAAATCCACTCGTGAAAACTCCAATAGGAACAGAATTTTCACCTCAGAAATTTGCACTATTGTACCAAAATTTAAACTGTGATACAACTTCAGGGTCTCCATGTTAAAAAGAACCAACCTGTGATCAGTTTATGTTGTTTTTATTGCCTCCTTAATTGCCGTGTCATTAATTTTTGTCTTTGGTTTGAAAGCGTTGTCTTTTTGCCAAGTATTTCTCCCACCTGACGTCAACTCGCCGAGCTCGCAAGTCGGGCCTTCCTCACTTCCGACTGGACAAAGTCAGCAACATCAAAGCCTGGCTGTCGCTCCGATCTTTCCTCAAGGTAGATGTCAATGAACTTCCTGGATCATGAACTTCCCTTCCTTAACAGTAGAAATCCGAAGAAGCCCATTTTTTTAACATGAGTTTTGGCGTTCACTAACCAGAAAAACCGAAACCATTCGAGGCTGACGGCAGTTTTCATGATCGTGCACGAAGCGCATCAGGAAACAGTGTTGTAGCTGAGTCCATGGCAAGTCCTTTCACAAGCCCACTCACAAGTAACGAGGAAGAACAACAAAGGATTGCTTTTGCCACAGATGACTTGAATAAATTGTGACTCGGGTAATGAGAGACTACATGTACACGACTTGTAAAAGACTTGCAGGGACTTGTGGTGGACCGGACTTTGACCACGTCTGGAAGGATCAGAACATCAAAAAGCCAAAACAGTTACACCGTCATTTTTCCCCCAAAAGACTTCTTCATTTGGCAGGAAAGTTGAGCTTTGTGTATTTCCAAAGTGCACAATTGCGATGGGTTCTGCCCCCCTTTCCCTCTCCCACCTGTTCAATTTTTTTTTGCGCATGTAAAGACGCTCCTTATCAGTACAGATGTCAAGTTTCAACTCAATTTGACATTTTTGTTAACGGTCACTTGAAGTTGAAGGCCACATGCTTACCGTCCCGTGTGCATTGATTATGTCAGTGGAAAAGTAAACATTTTTGCTGACCTGTCTCGGAAAAATGGGCGCTGCATGCGAACGGTATGTTCAATTTTCAAACATGATGTCAAATGAACACAGAGAGTTCCTTATAGCACCCTTAAAGGCTTGGCTCATGAAACAAATGTACTGCAGCGAATCAGGAAACATGCATGGTAGATTTTGTCGTCAGCTTTTTCAGAGCTTGAAGTAAATTTTTATTTTTTTTAAAAAAATTTCTGTTGTTTATTTCCACCAGAAACGTGGACCTCAACGCTCTATTGACATCATAGTGTCATCAGCGTTCATGCTTACGTTGTGTATGATGTCTGTTCTGTGTGTTGAGGTAGGTTACAGTTTACTAATCAGTTCTGTGAAGTAGCATCTGTTAACTTTCAGAAATGTACTTTTTTTAATTTTCTTCCATTGGATTGGAAACAACAATGGCAGTTGGAAATATAAGTATTTTGATGACATATATTGTGAAAGTTGTGCTATGGATTAGTGATTCTAATTTCAGTGTTGGAGTTGAGACCATTGTAAGAACAGTCATGACCATTCACAAGACCTGTCACAAGATATGGAATGATCGATGTCAAAGGGAATGATTTGAACAACTTGTGACTTGAGTTCAGACTGGAGGTCTTGTGCTGGTCTTGTGAGGGTTGCGTGATGGTCGTAAGAGGTGTCAATTGTGGTACAATGCTGCCTTATTGACCACTTCTCAGGTTTGTGAAATTTGCTGATGTTTGTATCTCGGCCTTGGGGTTATGCCTGGTTACATGGTGTCTAGATTTTCCGACTCCGGACTAGCTCCCCTGAACAAAGATATTGACAAATATAGAGGGACTACCAACACAGACCTGATAGCTCAGTTTATAGAGCATTGGCACGGTCCTCCAGAGGTCTCAGGTTCAAATCATACTCCTGTCAGTTTCTCAATTCATGTTTAGAATTTTTGCTAATTTGTATAAGTTTGCGGGCGTTTCTCAGATGCTTCAGAAAGAGTTCAAGTTCCTAACCCACCTCTTCAACTGGGAACTGATCGCCTGGACATTCTGCATGTGCCCCTTCTTGCTGAGGTTCATGACTTTGGGCTCTACTATCAACCAGAAGTTCCGCAACACCTCCGTGCTATTAACGGAACAGGTAGGGATGAGAGGAGTAGGCGGAGCTTGGTCTCTGAGTTGGGGGAGGGAGGAATCACTGGAAAGGAATTTTGGGACTAAGTGGGTTCAGTTCGACTGTCAAGTTTGTAGTTTGTTTGAATGCCAAGTTGAACATTTCAGTCGGTAAGTTGACGGACCAATGATGACAAATGAAAACATGGCTTTCTGCTCTTCTTTACTTACAAGTTTGGTCTCGCCTCTGGATATCAGTAGGTTTAAAGATAAAGGGAAGAATTGTCTGAGGGAAGACTTTGCAGAGATTTTGGTGACGCCGTATGTGAACAAGCAGGAAGGTGGGGGTTTACCAGTGTTGGTAAGCATTCTTGGGAAGGTTATGCCTGACTAATATACCCATGGCTGAACATTAACTTGTGAGGTCCGTGCATGGGCATCATACATGAAGGTCCATGCATTGCATTTCTAGCAACAACCCCTGAAAAAGTCTCCTTTGTCTTTCAATTAGCCTCATCTATTTTTTGTTGTTCTGTTTTAGATAGCTTGGCACTCTTTTTGGTTTTTATTCTAAATGCAAGTAAACAAGAGAGGGAGGTTGATTGCCCAGCAGTGATCCTCCCCAGGGTGATAGTGCCACCACGCACCACACGCGAGTGCTTGTTCGCACATAACCCACTGGCATAGAATTCACACAAGTAACTTTGCCTATCTGGGCACACCATACCAATAGTGTTCAGTCGTCGCCGTGGCTTATTCAGCCTCGGGCGAGGAGCCCTGATACACAGAGCAGATCGTCTTGTGAGACTTTCCTCATCCTAAGCAGGAACCTTTTTTTTCTGTTATTTTTCTTCATTGCCTTCAGATTAATCTCTATTTACACATGGAGAAAAAGCCCCACAAGAAGGATGATTTGATGCTGGCCAACAACGTACTTAAACTTGCCTCCAAGCTCCTTAAGGTAAACCTTTGAGGATGGAAACAGAGCAAGCAGTTAAACTTCTCTCGTCTGTCAAGGGCTCACAGCATGATTTCCCAATTTGCCTGCATCGCAGATCTTCCCCATGCAAGCAAGTTTTGGCCACGTGTGTTATGCCTTTGAGCATGCTATGTTACCTTAACTCGCTGCTCACCATGCAAGAGTTTAATTGGATGCCTGCTTTAACCCTTAACCCCCGGAGTGTACGTGATTATATTGAAATCATACTGAAATCATTTTGCGAAATCAATATTGAAATTGGCAAAATCATGTTAAAATTGGAGGATTAAGGATTATCGGGGCTGTTTAACCAGAAGGAACCTGCCATAGACTGGCAACCTATCAAGGGGGACATAATGATGTGAGTTGTCTCATCCCAAGTTGACTTTATAAATACAAACATTGGTCTTATGAACCAGATAAGTTTGTGACAGGCTGCCTCTGTCCAAAAGCCTTGTCCAAAGCAGTATTGTTTGCCTACATCATTGGCTATTCATCATAGCATAGAGATGACAAAAATTCATAGCCATAGCATCAGATACCTCAGGATACGACCTAACTTGCCTTCATCTCATTATATATACCCCCTCTGACCTTTGGCCTTTGATCTCACAGGAAATAGAGACGCCCTTTAAGATTGCCGGCATGTCCATGAATCCGGTCCTCTACAACATCACGAGAGTTGTCGTCTTATCGGCCTTCTCTGGGGTCCTTACCGAGCTCTTGGGCTTTAAGTTAAAGGTGAGTTTGGAAACAGCAGAGTGTGAGATAGGAAAGCAGTAGTGGAAATGATCTAAGATCAGAGAGTCCTGGAATAAACAGATGTCCAGTTGAAATTATTTTCCCAGCTGTTGTTTCACTAAACCCATGCCACTCAATTCCTTCCACGGTCAAACCTTGCACATCCATCAACAACCCCACAGCCCATTCCAGCCCCTCCGTCCACCTCACATCCAACCAAACTCATCTACCCCATCCCTA